TGGCAGCGAAACAAGGATCATGCCATTTAGGCGTCATGGGGGTGCTCAATGTCTGATTTTACATAGAACTACCAGTTTTCTCCCAATAAGTTAATATACAGCCTATTACAATATACATTTCAACATTTAATGCTGTAAATAAACATGTGAGAAGAAAAGAATAAAACGTTCAATAAATGTTTTTAAAGTGCATAAATAAATCCAAAATTGTAACCCTAACCCTGGGTCGTCAGTGCGCATGTGTAAGAGTAGCGTGTATGTGTGTAGTGGCAGAAGAGAAACACTTGCTGAAGAGACGGAGCCCCAGCTTCACCGAGTTGTCCGCACCTCATGGGACTTTAGGATAATTTATCACCTTTGATGAACCACACAAAGAATATTTTATTGTTTTTAAATACACCCTGGACAGGTCGCCAATCCATTGCAGGGCCACACATAGACAAACAACCACTCACATTCACACCTAAGGACAATTTAGGGTCACCAATAAACCTAGGCCGCATGTCTTTGGACGGTGGGAGGAAGCCAGAGCACCTGGAGAGAACCCACGCAGACAATGGGAGAACATGCAAACTTGAACCCGCGACCTTCTAGCTGTGAGGCCACAGTGCTGTCCACGAACCACCGTGCCGCCCTCTTCCACAACCATGGATGACTGAAATAATTTCTCCCACATGGCCAGTCTACATACTCTACATTAGAAACAATGGCCTGCATGAGAAGTTGACTCTTTTTTTACTGACTTACTTTTCAATGGAATTGTCAGCTTTTGTTTGTTAGTGGTGCTGTTGTTGTTTAAAGTACAGCCTGACTAAAAGATTTGCCAGGATCAACCAACTATCTCATGGTCCTCGATATAACACGACATGTCGGTATAGAAATGTCAAAGATATGTTAGAAGTCATATAGAAACTGACATGTAAAATGTCCCGCACACCACAAACTGTATCTTGGTGACAACTCTTTAACAACCAAACATAAGGGATCCAAACAGGTTTGTGTGATGCATTTACTTTAAATGAATGAGTTTTGACCTATTGTGTTCAGATTTTTCCATCCATCCATCCATCATCAACCGCTTATCCTGTGTACAGGGTTGCGGGGGGCTGGAGCCAATCCCAGCTGACATCAAGTGAAAGACGGGGTACACTCTGGACAGGTCGCCAGTCCATCGCTGGTTTTTTAAACTTTAAAATATTGATATCAGTATCGGCCTCAAAAATCCACTATTAGTTGGGATGTAATGTGAAGTTCTAATTTCTAATCGGTATGTTGTATGTGAATGATTCTCAGAGCAGTATATGACAGCTACTGTAATAACTCAGCAATTAATTTCTCATTCATACATTTATTTTACTATATTGTATCTGCCATTGATTTTTCATAGCCTTTTCACAGCAGCTCTATTCAGTGGAATGATTTGATCTGCCAGCTTTATCCCAAGTTGTATTTCTGTCTTCAAAGCTTTCATTTTGAAATGACGGAGCCAAATTTAGGCATTAAAAAAAACTTTGAGTGATTATTTATTAATCCTGTTTTGATTAGAAATGTGTCTCTGCTGAGACCCACAAAACAAACTTTAATTTCCTGCGTCATTTCAAGTTTAATACTCCTTTCAGTCAAAGGGAAGTAGTCATTGACATGCTGTAATTGTAATGTCTGTGATTTTCCATGTGTATTCCCACGCTCAGCTTCTGTTGAGACAGCCTCGTCCTCTCTGCTCTCCTGAGTAAACTCATTCAACCTCATTTACTTCCTCCAGGAGAACTGCATGTTAATCATTCAGCCAGTGAGGTGTTGGAGGTCACCAGCTGTTTTCTGTTTGTTCTGGCTTGTTTGTGCCTGGATGAACTGACAAATAGTGTTTCATCTGCAAACGACAAAGTCGGTTTTTCTTACAGGTTGCAGCTTGACTGTCATTTATTTTTTATTTCTCCAGCTGGAACCTCTGATCATTTGTTCACTTCTGAACATGCAGATTTATTAAGTCAAACAGGGACAGGCAGAACTTGAAATTAACACACAACTCCTTTGGGGTCAGGCAGTGAAATGTGAAATAGCTTGAGGAAAACTCAATCACAAGCTGAAAACACCACTGTCTCTCTGGAATTGGGGTTCATTTTTCCTTCTTCACAGACACATATTTATTTTTAATGTAATGCACTCCAGAAATTTAAAGAAAAGTTATTAAAACCTCCTGCAGGATGATCAACTTCTCCACTGTTCAGCAGTGCACCCAGTATGTTCTGTCAATCATAGTTTCACCAGTAAAGGACTTAATTTCACTGACCGCCTCGAGGAGGTTGTGAACATGGCACAGAAGTACATCTTTTGGGTTCTTTTGGTATAAAACATCACATTACCTTTAGGATTTTGAATAGTATTTATGCATGTAGCATGATGTCACACACATTTTTACTTTTTTAGTTACTTGTGGGAAAGAATCTGAATTCAAACAAAAGAGATGGAGCTGAAGTATCAACAACCATGTTTTATAAGACGACACATCTGTCAATTAAGCAAACACGCACAAATAATACTTTTCTTTTAACCCGAAATAGAGCATACATGTACAGTAACAGTTACTAGACTCACAGTAGAAGAAGGGAAATTAGCTGTTGAGTTTGGGGCTTGTTGAACATAATTGTAGGGAGATTTCTTGGAGGCAGCATGTTTCGTGGTGCACTGGCTTTAACTTTTGGTCAGTTTATAACAATTTGACCTCTCACCCTGCTCTTTAGGTGGTTGATCAGCATTTTTGTCAGGCACTGTTCTGAGAAGAAGACAAAACGTTAGCTATCCCAAAGCTGAAAAAAAGAGACAAAAAACAAGATTACAATACAACAAAGAAAAACAGGACAGAAAAAAGGCAGTAAGAAGTGAATATACTGGAGGATAAAAGGAGTGGTGATAATGGTAAATCTAGTTAAGTTGGAGGTTGGGCTTCAGTCCGAGCCTCCAGGGAGTTTTGAGGGAATCAGAATTCAGCTCACACTCTGCAGCTCCTGAAGTCTGACTCACAGCAGCTAGAAAGCTCCAAGGACACACAGGCAGTCCCTCTGTCTGTCTGAGTCTTTCTGTCTGCGACACACACACACACACACACACACACACACACACACACACACACACACACACACAAACATTTGTTCCACTATCCCCATGGGGACATAACATTGAGATAATGCATTCCCTAGCCTCTTATTCTAACCTTAACCATCACAACTATGTCTAACCTCAACCCATCTAACCCTAAGCTTAACCTAATTGTAACCTGAACCCTAAAGCCAAGGCTTAACCCTCAAAAAGCAGTCTCTAACTGTGAGGACCTCATATTTTGTCCCCACTGTGACATGAGTCCCAACGGGTCAGTTTGCAGTCAAGTTAAAATCCCTGACAGATAAGAACATGTAAAACACCTAAACGTACTCATTTCAGTGCCTCAAATACCGACGCTTTGAGACAGCATGACAAAACCAAGTTATTTGACGTAAAATTTACCCTTCAGCGTCCCTGTGACACGCCGCAGTTTGCTAGTGCATTGCAATATAGAGGAGGCTAACCCTACTTGCTAGCACATCGGCCGTGCACAGCAGAAGGGTTAGCCGGTCGACATGATTATACATTTAAAGACTTAGGTTTAGGTACAAACATATGTGATGGTTAAGGTTAGGGTAAGTTGCGTCAGGGGGCTGTCAACACCTTAAACACAAACTTTGCTAGCTAGCTTGCTAGTTAGCGACCGCAAGCGCTACTAGCATTTCCGGTCACCCCAGGGTATCATGTACAGACCCAGAGGGTCTGCAGGCGCCGAAGGGTACCTTTTGTGTCAAATAACTATGCTTTGTCACCCTTTCTCAAATCGTCTGTATAAGATGCCCTGAGATGAGAGTGGTCTCAAAACACACACACAGACAGACAGACACACACACTAAAAAGTCAACATTTTCATCCATTAAAATCTTAACCGTATATAATTTTATAGTACCGTGGATGCAAAGGATGACGTTGATGTTATTATTATTATTAAATTTTTATTATTGATTGAATTATTAGTTCTGTATCTGCATCAATTTCATCCTGCTAAAACTGCTGTTGTATTAATGTATTTAACCTTTATTTAATCTGGAGCCTCACTGACATTAGAAATCTCTTTTTCAAGAGTTTCTCCACCAAGATAGTCAGCAGTAACAGTGAGTTATAGATGTAAGACAGACATCAATCACAAGTAAACAGAAATGGGATTATAAAATGTAATCAAATTTCTAATTCACCAGCTTGATAAATTATTTTAGGAGACAACTTAAACAAAAAACAACCATGGAGTTGTCTTAAAACCATCAAAATAAATGAGACCTCTGAAACATCACATTGAATTTTAAAATCAGTATGAATGCAGCATGGCGTCTGATGACGATAAAGTCATCATCCTCCAGCAGGGATACCGCTGATATCTGTTCACTGCCACTTGCCACCTTTCTGCCCTGAGTTTGATGAATGACTCGAGAGTATTGTGTCAATATGTGGGGGTTTTTTGTGTGTCAGTAAGCATTTGAACTCACTTTTTTTGGTTAGCGAGGGATCAAGTCAAGACTAATCAATCAGTGTCTCAATCTGGAATATTTGACATTTTTGATACATCACTTTGTGTCCACCAGCTGTTCAGGGAAGTTTGAACCACTAGAAAAAGACAAAACAACAACTCAGGCTCAGATTTTATGTTTTTTTGAACATCTACAAAGTGAAAAACATTGATAACTTTAACAAAGTGAATTGACAAACTGACCAAAGAATTACACACATCTAGTTAAGCAAACTGATTGGTTGATCCAGCCGGGCTTGATACAGAGAAACAAAACGAACACGCAAACAGGGACTATGGAGTAAATGTATATGCTTTAAAACCAAACTCTTGCTCAAACTCTGCAGTCCAGAGGTTATTGTCAATTCAAGTTCAAGCATATTGTCCCTTCCCCTCCTTTCTTGTCTTTCCCCCACAGACTGGATGTGCTTCTACCTGCGCTGCTGTGTGCCATCTGTCTCCTCGTCCTGCCGTCGTCCTCTACCCCCCACCACGAGTCAGGTACACACGCACCCTCTCCGTTCCCGTCACTCTCATTCCTACCATCCACTGCTGATGTCCTCCACTCCATTAAATCATACATGACCTCTGACTTTTAAGGGCGGGGGGCTGTCTTCGATCATTTCCTGTCGTTCATTGTTTTTGCTGACATGCACGGTATGGAGGCCGTTTTCAAGGGTGTCATTGTGTCCCGGCAGAAAATCAAGGTTAACTGATGGGCTGAAGGAGGCAACTGAGTGAATTTTATTGTGTCAGAAGCACAATAAAAGCAAGTACTGACAAATGTCACAAACTGCTGACAGTATATATCTTTGCGGGGTGGTATGTGTCATCCTCAAGCTCGGGTCCTTATCTTAGCCGTTCCTAGGACTGCACTCTTCTGGACAGAGAGCTCTGATGTTATACCTGGAATCTGCTGTAGCTACTCTCATAGTTTGGGGGTCACAGCCCCCAGTGCTCCGATTACCACTGGCACCACTGTTGCTCTTACTTTCCACATCTTTTCTAGCTCCTCTTTCAGCCCTTGGTATTTCTCAAGCTTCTCATGTTCCTTCTTCTTGATGTTGCTGTCGCTTGGGACTGCAGGCTTCTTCTGCTGTTTGTCGATCAACACGATGTCTGGTTGGTTAGCCATCACCAGTTTGTCAGTCTGGATCTTGAAGTCCCACAGGATCTTAGCTCGGTCATTCTCAACTACCTTAGGAGGTGTCTTCCATTTTGACCTTGGGACTTCCAGCCCATACTCATGGCAGATGTTCCTGTACACTATGACAGCTACCTGGTTATGGTGTTCCATGCACGCACTTCCTGCCAGCATCTTACACCCTGCTGTTATGTGCTGTACTGTCTCAGGGGCATCCTTGCACAGTCTGCACCTGGGGTCCTGCCTGGTGTGGTAGACCCCAGCCTCTATTGATCTTTTATATATATATATATATATATATATACACACACACAGGGCAAAATGATTTGGGTCAATGATTTGATCAAATGAGCTATAATTTAAAATTACTGACCTCTGCTGGTGACCAGTAGGAGATGCAAATTGACATATCCTTGGCTGACAAACCTGCTCATATAATACATTTTGTGCAATGAGGCAGCAAAAAACACACACGCGTCTCAGTTTAAGCTGCCTAACAGAGAATTATTTTTGGAATTAGAACATGTTAGCATGCTAACATGCTAAACTAAAATAAAACACATTATTTTCATCCGACTGTAGCTGTAGTGTGTGGCTTAATCTTGGTTTACTTTGTTAGAGCTATACTGTATGTCACTAATGGCACTAAAAATGTTTGAAAAATATAATAATTCTATCTTGAATGTTTAGTTTGCAGAGAGTCATTAAAGGAATAGCTTTTATATTTCTGTTTGTTTAGTGATTCAACAAACGTGACACATCATGTTATTTAATAAGCTTGACTACTGTAGATACAGAGCAGCTAGCTGTTTCCCCCTGCTTCCAGTCTTTATGCTGTCTCCTGGTGGGACCAGCTCTGTATGTAACACACAGACATGGGAGCAGTATCAAGAAAAAGTATATTTCTGAAAATATCATCTATTACTTTAAAGCTTGCCTCTCCACAGATGATTCCAAGCTTCTCCAGGTGACCATCCCCACCGGCCGGCCTGTGTTTGCTGTGCTGGGCGGCTCTCTGACATTACCCTGCCTGGTGTCTCTGGCTCACCCACCGCCATCCCCCTCCACCAATGGCCGCCACGCCGTGCTATCTCTCCCCCGGGTCAAATGGACCGTTCTGACTCAAGGCCTAGAGATGGAGATCCTGGTGGCCCGAGGCGACAGGGTGAGAGTCAGCGAGGCCTACAAAGACCGAGCCACGCTGCTCAATTACGCCTACTCCCCCGCCGACCTCACCCTGCGGTTGGAAAGCCTGAGGCACAGCGACACCGGCTTCTACCGCTGCGAGGTGCAGCAGGGTCTGGAGGATGCTGACGATGTCGTTCAGGTCAAGGTCAAAGGTGAGAGAGATGAAGTGTAGTGATTACATATTGAAAAAGTGAAATATTCAAAGGAAATGATGTGACAACAAATGAAAGCAAGTGTAACAAAAAAAAAAAAAAAAGATTCACATGCGTCCGACCCCTGTAATTTTTAAAATTGAACACAGGGTTGAATCAAAACATAAGACATTGCCCATAAAAAATATTAAGCTTTAAGTGTTTTTATTGCAGGCTGTTGTATAGTTAATGAATTAAATAGCAAATTTCTGCTGCTGTTTTGTCCACAACACAGATGTTACATCTGCAAAACATCTGTCTGAGGTGTTGAGGTTTCAAAACTTATTCACAATATTGAAGTCTGAACAAATACACACAAATCTGCCAGTGAGGTGCGGCCGTTAGAATATGCAAATCCCACAGTAGTTTTAGTTCATAAATTAAAATAATGGCACTTCATATAAACAATGTTTAAGATAAATTGAGCTGGATTGGAAGCTGTAACATGTAATAGTATACTAATACTCATATCACTACATTAGACTATTATATTGTTTGATTTTTATAACAAAGTCATTATATTAAGATGTTATTAAGATATTAATATAATATATTATATAAGTGTTGTCTCACATACAGCTGGTAAGCAGGTGCATAGGAAATAATGCAAAAGAAATGGTTAATAAGTTTATTGAAAATGCAGTGTTTTTGTCACCGGCAGTAAATTAAAAATCCGTGATGATACATTTTACATTTCACACTATTTACATTTATATACATATTTAAATATTTGACAAGGTCAAACAAACTGTCTTCTGGATAATAGAAAAAGCTTCTGTTTTTCACATTTCTGTATCTTTATCAAACAATACACGCTGAGCATCTGTGATGAATGGTCCTGTCATTCAGAGCCCCCACCAAGTAGTAAATTATGGATTCTCTGACCACAGTCATTTGTGAGCCAATATATCAGGCACCAGAGAGTCATTTATTGTTAGTCATACTACATGGTTTGTATGCTGAGATTGAACTTATTGTCTTTGGGCAGCATTTTTAGTAATACAGTCAATCAGAGCCTCACATTCAGAGAAACAGTGATGGTTTTTAATAATTCATTGATCTCAGCGAGGAATGTCCCGTGAAGTTGATCAGAGTTATATTCATGTCCCCTTTTCAAGAACAACTTTGTTTAATTTAGTAAAAGTTTGACTATGTGTAAAAGTCCGGCTTTCAAAATCTTTAAAGCACAATCAGCAAAATGTATTTAAAGTATCAAAACTTGATGCGTTAATGTGTAAGTGACATTTTAATGCCTTAGTTGGCGGAGAGTGAGCTGTTTTGAACTATTTTAAATACTGCTAGCTAAATCATATTCTATGGACCCATTTTGTGCATAATAATTAATAATAATTACTCATTTAGCTGACACTTTTATCCAAAGCGACTTACAATTGCTATATACAGTATGTCAAATTCCGCACGCCTCAGGAGCAACTAGGGTTCAAGTGTCTTGCTCAGGTACACATTGGCTGATGTGTCGCAGTGGGACTTGAACCCATGTCTCCCACATGAAAAGGCTTGTGTCTTATCCACTGCACCATCGCCACCCAACATAATATATGCATAATAAATGAATCACCAAAGTAACTAATAAGTATAGCTGTCAGATAAAAGTAGTGGAGTAAAAAGTACAATATTTCCCTCTGAAATGTGCTTTATGTAAACAGTACATGTAAAATAAATTAAACTAAATTATGTAATCCTGTTCTGGATGATAGAAACATGCGAAATTTTATTCTGCCAAAATTTCTGAAATTTGCTTTAATGTTGTGTAACATTTTAATGGAAAGAGCGCTGACACCTACTTTCCATTCTTAAAGCTGTTGTTTGGGGTCTTACAGGGGTGGTGTTCCATTACCGTGATGCATCCAGTCGGTACGCCTTTACATTTGAGCGGGCCAGAGAGGCCTGCAGCGAGATCGGTGCTGAAATTGCCACTCCAGAGCAGCTCCTGGCCGCCTACCACAGCGGATACGAACAGTGTGATGCGGGCTGGCTCTCAGACCACTCTGTGAGGTGAGCACCTGAGAGAAAATGGTCCATTGTCAAACAGGACACATCACTCAACGCTCGGATCAAGTGGCCTCTTAGCTTGACAATTCTGCATTTCGTGTTATGTAGAATTATTTGAGACACTCCGATGTTCAGTGTACGTTTGACAACAGCCCGAATCCTTTATGCACCTCAACAAAAACAACAGCATTAAACTGCTGGACTACCATGTTGCTGTCAGTCAACAGCATCCAGTAGGGAGGTCAGTTTGGAGGGCTGATAGTGGGCTACTCAGCCAGCTAACATTTGATATGCTCTCTGCATCCGCACATCAGAACACACAGATCATCAAGTAGCTGAGAGGCACTCATCTGATCTCAAACTGTACATTTCTCCCCACTTCAACACTCACTCCGAGAAGAGCTCAAACAAGTGTGATATTTGGAGAGCTGCCATTATGAAAGAAGAGGTACTTAGTGTTTCAGTGATGTGCAGTATTTCCCTCCACAGATATCCCATTCAGATGCCAAGAGAGGGCTGTTTTGGGGACATGGATGGGTTGCCAGGAGTGAGGAACTATGGACTGTTAGAGCCTGATGAGCTGTATGACGTCTACTGCTACGTGGAGAATATTCAGGGTAAGGCAGAGAAATGCATTTTTTTCACTGTTTCAGAAGCATGCAGACTCCCCTTTTTTGTGTACTTTTGTTTTGGGTCTTTTTTTTCCTGGTTTGGGCCCCCTTAGTTTCAATAATTGCAATAACATACAATGATTGTGTGTGAGTGTGCTTTGTCAACAGTTAGCGTGTCTAACTAGTCATGCTGCTGCCCCACTGAACTTCATGCATGGCTCAATCACAGCAATTAAGCTAGTGTGTAAAACAAAAGTGAAATAATGGTCCAAACTGCCGAAATAAAACCCAAGGTTGTAAAGACACTTTTAAATTATACAATCATCTCCTACCACTGATTTTGATTGCTTACCTGACCAGGCTCAGCACAAAAATCACAGCGAAGTAACAGGCAAAAGATCATCAAAACCTGACACCTGTCTCCTTGTGTAAAGGTGAAGTGTTCCATGGCTCCGCCCCCCAGCGTTTCACCTTCTCGGAGGCTAAGACCTACTGTCTGAGTCATGGGGCCGAGCTGGCCAGCACAGCTCAGCTATACGCGGCCTGGAATGATGGACTGAACCACTGCAGTCCGGGGTGGCTGGCAGATGGGAGCGTGCGCTACCCCATTGTTACCCCGAGAGAGCGCTGCGGAGGAGGTGAACCTGGGGTCAGAACTGTCTACCGCTACAGCAACCAGACGGGCTTCCCCGAGGTTCATACTCGACACGATGTCTACTGCTTTAGAAGTAAGAGAACAATCTTCTGTTCAATAAGTGTCTTAGTTTATTTTCTGCATCCTAAGAGTTAACCTGCAGTCCTGCAATGTTCTCGGAGCCAGTGGTCCCCAGCCTGCGGATCAGGACCCTCTCAAGGGGTTTCAAGAGAGTTAACAGGATAGGAGAGTTATTTTTAAATTACTTTCTCTTCTTTCTTCTGAAAGTGATCTTAAAATTTTTCAATTTAAACTTTCTGAGCAGGTTAGTAGGGAAAATCTGTGAAATCTGAAAATCTTTCTGAAGTGAGCCCTTTCTCAGTCTGCGTTGTTGTCTGTCCTTGTGTTCTTGTGGACTTCTGAAACACAATCATTCATGGCCCAAATAATGTTACACCGGAAAGTCCGCATTTAGCCAAGAATGGTACAACACCCCCACTGTGATACTTTGCAGTGGAGATTATTGATTTGATCAGCCAGTCTCAGCAAGGTGCAAAAGACCACATTACAGGTTTAAAAGCTTAGTGTATTATTTATATAAATATACTAAAATCCAAGAGAAAACATCTGGGCTTTAATTTCTCAGTCGAAGGTCAGTGTCAATTAGTCTGAAGGTGAACTACTTTAAAATTTGCTGAGTGTTTGCTATTTGTCCAAATTGGTTTGGCTGAAGGTAAAATGAAGGTTGATGTTTTTACTGGACAGTTAATGTTGCACAAAACCATTTCCTCTTTATACACACAACTCCTTATATTTGCAGATCTTTCCATTCTTTACCAAAAATAATAAAATTTGTCTCCCTGCTGTTGAAGGTGCCAACTTATTAAGTCTAATGATGAAGGTCACAGATTCTGTTATCTTAAATGCAAATTAGCTTTTTTACTAATGAAGCTTTTTCCATAGTGGCAGTAAGAATAGATCCAATCAAATCCTGCTCAAATTATTAGACAATAATATAATTATATATATGTGTATATATATATATATAGCTTATATATACCAGACATTTACACTGCCAAAGCAAGTGTGAAATAATTTTTTTTTTACATAAACAGAAGAATTGTGTAATAAAAAAACTATATATATATATATATATATATATATATGTATGTAGTTTTTTTTATTTCACACTTGCTTTGGTAGTGTAAACGTCTGTTTCCCATGGCAATAAAGCCCCAGTGAATTGAATAAATGACATTTCCTAATTCTGCTCTTAATTTCAGGCGATAACGGCCCTTACACTGAGTCTCCTCAGGATTTTCTTGCTACTGAACCAGAGGACATTGGCCAGGACATTGTGTTCTTAACTAATCCCGCACAGGAGGAGTTCAGCCTGAGCGAGGTGACAGCAAAGGGGGGGGAAGAGGTCCAACGTGCCCAGACGGCCAATCCTGTAAAGCAGGGTCCTGAGGAGGCTCATCCCCCAAGAACGGGTTATGACAAGGAACCATTGCTGACGGTAGACCTTCATCAGTCTGTCACTCCTCCATCTGAGCATCAAGCGCACTTGTTCACAGAGGATACATTGGAGCTCATCGAGAAGGCCAGATACCCAGACTCCTATCAGCCAGCACCTGAAGAAAGCCCAGACACAGATGATGAAGAGTCTCACGTACTTCCAACAGCTTCTCTAAAGGCAATTGGCGTAGTAACTGTCGGTGAAGAGTCTACTTTACCCACAACTGGTGCAACAACTTCAGAGAGTGTAGAGCCGTCAGAGCACCACATTTCTGAGAATGAAAGCCTGGATGCACCAGCTGTTAATGAAACATCTGGAACTGATGCAAATGGGCTCTTTAACAGCTCTCTAGAGGTTCCTCAGGAGGGTGATCTTCCTGTCGTACAAGAGGACCACACTCCAGACGTCCACTTGGATCACTGCTCGGAAACTGAGCTCGTCTGCTTGAGCACCTCCGATGATGTTTCAGGACAGCCAGAAGAGGCCAGCGCTGGTACTTTTGAGGAGATATCAACGGTGATTACTTCACCCCTCACTGAGGAAACAGATGTTCACTCCACCACCTTGTTGCCATCTTTTGAAAACACTTTGCCTGAGAACTATCCAACAGAAGAGGGGTCTGGAGAGGAGAGTGCAAATCCTCTTCTAGATGAGGAAACACAAAACTCAGTGACTCAAAGTTTGGTTGGTATGGACACCCCTTCCACCTCTGAACTCGTCCCTACGCCTGATTCAGGTAAATATGTTGATATTGTTACTTAATAATGGCTCCATGTCATAAGGTAGTTAGCCTATTTAATAGGTGTGATCAGTTGGAAGGAATCTTGCAGGAAATGCACGTTAGACACTATTGGACAGTTGTGGAAACTAAAAGACTTTTACTCAAGTACAATTTTGAGGTGCCTGTACTTTACTTGAGTACTTCCATTTTCTGCTACTTTATACTTCTACTCCACTACATGTATTTGACAGCATTAGTTACCTTGCAGATTTAGATTATTAATACCAAATAGAAATTGTTGGACCGTGACTTTAAAGTACCCTTTTTAAACTACGTGTAGTCCTTGGTCCTGCATGTTCTTTCATGAAGCAATAGGAGAAGAGGTTTTTGGTCCAAGTTAAACAGTTTTATTACAAGTAAATGAATAAAGCTTACAGAGCTCTGGGTCGATCTTCCTTTCTCTGACAAACAACAAGCTGTATCAGTTCATGAAGTCTGACTGGCTATCTCTCCCTGACCCAGTGTTTTAGTATACATCGTCACGTCATAAAACAATAAAACAAAAGTGTAGGTCAGTCCGTGATTGGCCCACGTCCTCTGACCCCAAGGTTTGTCATCTGACTCCACGAATCACCATGCTGTTGCTGGGCAGATTACGAGCGTAGTTCCTGAAATGAGATATCTTGGAGAAGAGATGTTTTGTTACCACATTCCAAACCACCCCTCACCCATTGTTCAGGTCTCCTTATCTGATCATGCAGAGACCCCCTGTTTCTGCAACGCTCCAAAAAACACACACATCAGGTCTAGTTTAATAAATGATAGACCAACATATAAACTTCTACCTATAAACTACATCAGAGATCAATATAAGAAAACACAATTCTAGTGGTTACCCTGAGTAATACAAAAATCATACTATCATAATCTCTCAAAATCAGTTTATATGATACCTGGCAGTTTATAGTGTTAATCTCCAACTAAAGCTAAGGCTGACAGGAATTCGGGGCGTTGATTGCAGAGGTAGTTAAGTAAGTAGTAGTTGTACACTCACTGTCATCTTTGCTGAGTGAAAAAACGTGACAAGTTGGTGCAACAGGGGATCATCAGCGTCATTAGGATTCATCCTCTTGATTGTCTCGTGGCAGTGGATCCAAGATATTTCCCTCTGAACCAAAGTGCTGGACCAAAGGATTGACAAACCAACATCGACATGCCTTGAACCACAGAGCCAGCGTGGCTAAAAACATATCCTTATATGTATTTACAATGTAAATGGTATATAAAGTAAATGTCTGCAAATTAAAGCATTCAAATGTTACACACCTTGTCATTGGCATGGTTAATATTTTGCCTATTTCTTTTTACTTCTCTACTTATTTCATTGTCACTAAGACCTACAGTATGTTGTTAGTCTTTTATTTGTTTTAATTCCTGCATTTTCAAACTAAATTGCTTCAGAAAAGGATATCTATCATTTTGCCGGCTTCTGCTTGAGGTTAATGCCTGGTAAAAAGGAGTTTTTCCTTCCCACTGTTGCCAACTGCTTGCTCATGCTGGTACGGTCTAGGCCTGCTCAATATGAAAAGTGCCCTGAGATAACTTCTGTTATAGTTTCCCTTTTATTGACAGGTTATGATCCTACTCAAGAGCCCCTAGGTGTAACTGTAGAGTCGTCCATCCCAGTCCGTCAAGAGGATGAGGAATCCAATAGCACTTCAGAGGAGGCAGCCCCAGATGATGTGTTCCACCAAAATGGACTCGTTCATCCTGCAGAAATCCCAACAGCAGAGGTCATCACGGCCACAGATGACTCAGGCTCCAGTGTAGACACCCCTGGAATGTACAGTGATCCGGTCACTTTGTTGGCCTCCCCTGTATCTGTAACCCTGTCTCCCCCTTCTGTGGAGGTTGAAGCTAGATCCCCAGAGATTATAACCTTCATACCTGAAAGCAATGCTTCATCTGGGGCCGAACCTTTAGAGGACATCCAGAACAAACTTGAACAGGAAGGATTAGGAGAAAGCCCCGTTGTGTTCCTCAGCACATCCCACAATATCACAGACAGTGATCCAGAAGGGAGGGAACAAGATTCTAGAGAGGCATCAGGTGAATCGTCTGGAGAAAGCCCAAAGGGGAAAACAGGACTCCTGTTGACAAATCCAACTCTCTCAACGGACCACACATCTGAGGTAACTGAAAGTGAGGCTGACTCTGACACACCTCCTCCATCAGATATAAAAATCACACTGATCCCTCATCTGACCCTCACACCGGGCTGGGAACCAGAGCCTTCTCTCCCCACACCGCCGGAGTCTCACTCTGACCGGGAATACAGCGCGGAGCCTCCAGTCGCTGAGGAATCTGATGATGTCTCGAAGGAGCAAGAGGTCATGACTGAGATCACCACCAGCAGCAACAATGGTGAGTTTAAAGCAGTGGTTTGTCTGTCACACCTTCCTTCAGAAGCCAAAAAAAGGCCATGCTCCCCCACCCCAGCGAAAGTGGATTTAATTCTTATCATTTTGTCGTTGACAATATAGGCGATTGAAATAAACAAGATTCAGGTGAACAAAATACAGTAGCCCTGCTAGCATCAGAGCACTTTTGTTTGTTTATGTCAGCACATCAATCATATTAATACAACTTGAGGTCTGCTCAACATCGACATCAGGTACAGGAAGGTAAAAGGTATACCACAAACCTATTTTGGTATCAAACATGTAAGTTTGGATAAATTTGGAACAGTATTTCCCACTTACTTGTATTACTGCATTCTGATGTTTTGTACACTAAATGGTTCATCAAGAAAATAATTGGCAATTAAGTGATAATGAAAATAATAGATATTTGCAGCCCTAATACTAAATAATAAATATAGAGCAGCAAATTCACTATTTATATCTTTTAGTTTAAAATTCTTAGAGACCAATATGATTTCAGCTGGCAGCTGTTTGTTTACTCAGTTGAAGCCTAATCAACATGAAACTGTTAATATAGCAGCACTAAAATTGAGTTGTCTGCATTTGGAAATGCATGTGAACATAGAAGAAACTGTCTCAACAGAACATGCATCACACGGAGGTGAGGTGGAGACCAGCACAGATGAGCCTTCGATTAAAATATGCACATGGCGTCCGGATGAGGAGGAAACCGTAAGTCCAACTCACACCACCGACAGCAGTGACGTGACAGTCACCGCTCCACCGATGTACCCAAAGCATTTTCAACAAGAAGGCGAGGAGTTGACTGCCATGGCGGCCTCCCTGCCTGCTGCCCAAGTTTCTGCCGCAGGACAAGAAGGCATTTCAGGTATCTACACTCCATAAGAGAGTACTGTAGATTTGATGATAACAGGAAACAGGAAATAACAGCTGGTGTTGGTGTGCTTTACCATGGATTTGGGAAGACGGAGGGAACGTCTGTCTCTGAAAATGCCCAATCAGCAGAGAGCTTTACTGTACGCTGCAATTTAGCACCTCAAGCTGACTCGGCACGACAAAGAGATTAGCTTCCCGTTTTGAATTAATTCTAGGAGAATAACACACAGTCAGCTCCTCACTGCGTTACATAAGAAGGGTTTTTATTATGTATTTTGAGGTTGTTTGACAAATAAAACCAGTTCTATTCTTCAAGCTGGAAAAGGCCAAGAAAAAATGTCTGAAATTGCTACAAATTATAATGGTTTTCTTTAATTCTTTTAATACGCATGTTCAGTTTTTAAGGATTAAACCAAGAAAAATGACCATATTTGGATAAAAGCCTTCACATCGTTGTTGTGTGACTCAGCTCAATCACACTGTGGTGAAAAGCAGCTGGAAAACATGATCTGCACTCTCAGTAGCTTATAATTCGACTGTTACTATATCCAGATCACTCATGCCATTTCAGTTTTAAGTCACAATGTTTATCCACATTAGAATGGACATAGCCACGTCTATTCAAAAAGTACTCTAAGCTGATTTGGGTATTTTTAGAAAACTGGGACACTCCACTTTGATCCTTTCTCCACATGCTATAAAGTTCCACATTTACTATATCGTTGCATAAATAATACAAATTTTAAAATTATTGCAATAATATTTATTCCCTAAACCAAAACTTCATTGCACCATTAGAAACAAAAATCATATTTAACATTACTACATATAATACTTAAGTAGTGGGTCCCATTCCTGATGCAACAGCTCCCTCCGCTGGTGCCTCTCTTTAGAGCAACTTCATGTGGGAATAGGTGTAACAAATGGTTATAAATCCTGCAGTTAAAGGTATTTGATTTTTTGAGGACCTCTGAATTTGTTTGTGTTGGTGCAGAACTCATGAACTTCGTGGAAAAGAAATATAATCAAGTTTTATAAAATGATTGTTGGCATGAAAGTAAAACTCAATATGGAATATAAATTCCATTCAGATGGATGGATACCATACTATATACTGTGATAATACTTAAGTTACTTAATACTTTTAAGTTAATAAGTACCACCTCCTCCTCACAACTGCAGACTCCTGCCTGGAGAACCCTTGTTTGAATGGGGGCACTTGTGTCGACGGTGAATCAACAAGCTGCATTTGCTTGGCCGGTTATGGAGGAGACTTGTGCCAGACAGGTTCAGTGTCAACTATTTCATAAGCATATAAACCCATAGTCTTCAAAATACTAGAAAGACTATAATTTGGTCATTTCTTACAATGTTTCTCTCCTGGCTCTGTTATTCTGTCTCTGTCCTGTTCAGACCTGAAGGCGTGTGAGCCTGGCTGGGAGAAGTTTCAGGGCTTTTGTTATCATCACTTTACCAAGAGGCAGAGCTGGGAGGCGGCAGAGCAGCACTGTCGCATGTGTGGTGGACATCTCATTTCAGTCATGACCCCTGAGGAGCAGGACTACATTAATGGTAAAACCCCTAAAAAACACAATTCCTTTCACACTTAGCTCAACTTTTTACTGACCTGGAGGCAAAAATAATCAGATTTCATGAGTTAGATAGGATTTGTTGGTGCCCAGCAAACATTTTTACTCCATCTTTGCAAGTTAGCAAGTGAATGTGTTCATCACCTTGCTGAGCTGATCTTTAAGCTTTATTGTCAGAAACTCAAACCCAGGAGAGAGAAAGTCAGTTTGGTCAGACATCATGAAGGATGCTCCAACTGCTGTTACCGGACGACCATAAAATCTCAGGTGTTGGTTCATCCTGGAACGCAATGACATTGGAGTTGAATTTTGTGCTCTGCTCAGTGACACCATACTTATACACCAATTATACTTCTTGCAGCAGATATCAAACTAAGGATTTTCCATCCCAACAGTCCTCATATTCAGACTCTTGAAAAAGCCAAAGTAGTGAGTTTGTTTTATGATGATACCTCTCAAAATTGTCCAGACAAGACACAACAACCTTTCATGTGTTTCCTCTTATTGAATCTGGATGTCTCTGTTTTTCGTCTGGCAATGAGGTGATGAGATAATAATCTGACATTCCTGTGGTGGCTGCTTTTTACTCTGCGGGCAGTTGCCATGGATCGTATAGACCAGAGGTGTTCAAAGTGTTTCGGGAAGGCTCAGTGGAATGGAAGTGTAAAGATAGTACATACAGTTATCAGGAGATCACATAGAATAGCCTAAATGTGTGGGGTTAGGTTAAAGAGAGTTCAGAGATGAAGTGGTTTAGGGGGAATTTTACTGTTTTCCCACTTTCAGAGCCAGAAACTAATTAATGCCTTAGGACAGATCTCCCTTTTTTGTGTATTAGGGGTAGTCTAACGTTATGTCGAACAGCAATATAAGGCTATCTTGACTCAGTTGTTGAGTGTCTATGGAATCAGATAACATGTTCATCATCCCATAGGCATCCAGGAAACTAAGCAAGTAAACTGGGGTGGGGGTATTCCAAGCTTTGTCTGAGAAACCCTATAGACTGATACTAAAGGAGTCTTCTTTACTTTGTAAGAATTTTAAAAGCAGGGTTGCATAATGGGAGTTTTAATCAGCTCATTCTAATGTAAAAATGTATATTATTGGCATTAATTGTATTTAGCTGTTGACTAAAACTGGAACAAAATCCCAGAATATTTAGTGTTTAGTATCTACTAAACTTTGAAATTTCTTGCATGAAGACATATTTTATGTTATCACAAGTGTGTTTTACTATAATACTTTACTGTATAATGCTATATGTGTTTGTCCACCACGTATAGGTGCCCACGAGAAGAGTTACAGTTGTTGATAAATACATTAAAAGCATCTGCTTACATTATTGTGTGTTTTGATGTTTATATGCTGCTTATAAATACTACAAAAGGACTATTTTATTTATTACTTTTATGTTGCATCTCTACTTTATGTCTCTCTTTTGTCTTTTACCGTGACACACAAAAAGTTGCAATAAATTTCTTTTCCTTACTTAATATGCTATACATACTGTGTATAGCCATATAATACAGTGCCCCTTCTCTTTTTTTCTCTCCTCATACCTCTTCATTTTTAGAAAAATACAGAGAATATCAGTGGATTGGACTAAATGACAGAACTATTGAGGGAGACTTCCGCTGGTCGGACGGGAACCCTCTGGTGAGTTTCACAGAGTCTTTAAACCTGCTCAGAGTATCAAACATGGGAGTTCAGCAATTTGTTTTAAGTTGTCAATCCCAGAAGACAATAAGAGTTTTTGTAAGAGTGTAAACCTGAAGTCAACACATGTTTCTTATCCTTCAGTATATTCACACCACTCACACCGACTCTTGTATCTTTAAGCTAAATTTATTAATCCTCTTTCCCTTTGTATAAAAGTAAAAAGGAATATTCCAGATTGAATTGGCTTATTGTCTGAGCTATATTAATATAGCTTTTTCCTTCATGTGACTCTCTGCTACACTCTCCTTCAGCTCTATGAGAACTGGTACAGAGGCCAGCCTGACAGCTACTTCCTGTCCGGTGAGGACTGTGCAGTGATGGTGTGGCACGACGGCGGCCAATGGAGCGATGTGCCCTGCAACTACCACCTGTCCTACACCTGCAAGAAGGGCGTCTGTGAGTTGACTTAATTTGAACTGCACCTTTTTTATGGCCTCCTTTATCAAGATCTTGTTTTTAAATCACCACCAGGATCGAAGAAGCAAAGTTGTCTCTCCGTTTCTCTTCCATCTAACAGCATCCTGTGGCGAGCCCCCCAAGGTTCCCAATGCCAAGGTGTTTGGGAAGAAGCGGTTGCGTCACGAGACCAACACCAAGCTGCGGTACTACTGCGAGAACGGTTTTGTGCAGAAACTGAATCCTGTAATAAAGTGCCTGCCCGGCGGCCAATGGGAGGAGCCTCTGATTACTTGCTTGCCAAGTAAGTTCAGTAATTGACCTGACTTTTATTTTTGTCATTACAAAAACAATCAAAGCTAATGTAAGCTAATAAGTTAATGAATGATTAAAAGGTTTCTGAAATACTTTCAAATGAAAGTACGCATTACAGAATTACAGAGTATCCTGAATATGTAATGCAACATCAAAAACCTCAAGTTTTTGTAATGGCTCAGCAGAGAAACAGGTTTGAACCCAGGCACACAACGCAGAGAGAATAGGTTAAAGTTGCATTGCAGGATGGAGTGGCAGGATCTGAAATGACATAACCTACTGTAATATATAAACCAAAGCAAACATGAGCATGTGCAACTAGGAGTTGGCTGGCACAGTGACCAATCTCTACTACAAGCAACATGCACCCTCACCGGTCTTTGTATGAAATTTTTACTGTATTGAGAAGGACTTACTGTATCCTGCCAAAGTAGTAAACATGGCAAAACGACCACAACTGGAACAAGATCTGATAAAATGCTGGAAAGCTTTGAATATCAGGAAATTGGTTTGAGAAAAAGGGCTGGTATGTGTGCTGCAGGGCAGGTGGGAAAAGCGGGAACTGGTATTATATATATATATATATATATATATATATATAAAAGTCAGGTGATGGGTAATGGCAGGAAAACGGTTTGCTTCAGGACATGAGGGAGTGAAATGACAGCAGAGTTAGAGTAATTTATGGCAGGGAAAACAAAACAGACATGAGAATGAGTTGGCTGGCATAGTGACAAGTCTTGTGCCTTAAACTGCTCCAGTGACACATTCCTTATATTTTTTTTCCAGGGATATAAACCGATCTCTATTACAAACCTAATGTGCTATGGAATATATATATACACTATGGAATATGTAACAAAATAAGAAATGTTCTGTATTGAGAGGGACTACAGTATATTGCCACAGTTATAGACATGGCAAAATGACCAAAACTACAACAAGATCTTATATAACTTGGGGTTGGTATATGTGCTGCAGGGCTGATAAAGAAGTGAGGTGTCGGTGGGGAAGCTCGGGTGAGGGGAACGAGGTGACAAAGGTGTCTGGTGGACATGTAAGAATAACACTGAAGGGCCCAGGGAGAGTTTAAGCCTAGCGTAGAGACGGACAATGTGACAATTTCCATTTTTTTAGATGTAAGTTTAGTTTTGCTGAAGGTAGGGAACTTCGTTTAGGTGAGAAAACAGTGTTATGTTCCATATCAGCAAACATACTAACTAAATCCTTAAATTGGACCCTGAGTTTGCAAGCAGATGCATTCAACACCTTCGCTAACGTAGGCTACTCTAAAAGTTCTCTTTCCAGAGGGAGCTGAGCAAAATACAAATCATTTCCCTCAAGGGAGGTCGACTTCGTCTGGCGGTGTGGAGTCCAGGCCTCTGTAGCTCCTCATCTCTGCGGCAGGCTCCACGCTACATTAGCTGCTACTACCATTACAAACCTGAATCTCTGACCCAACTGTCGGTGGTCAAGTTGCATTTTGAGCAATGTAGGCTCAGACATGACAAGACAACATAGAATGAAGATGTTACCTCTGGTTCTGCTGCATGAACATTGATCTTTTTAAACAGTCCGTCGTGAGTCTGAGAGCATTATAAGAGTGCAATGCTAAATAAAAGCAGGCTGATCTGAAACATTGGCAATAATAGTAAAGGCTGTAATCCTTTATTTTTCTGTTTTTCTTCAACCTGTAGCCCATTCGATGGAAGAAGACTCGATTACCTCACTTCCTTACCAGCATGAGGCGGCCGTGGAGGTCATGGAGGTCACGGAGGTCATGGAGGTCACGGAGGTCATGGAGGTCACGGAGGTCATGGAGGTCACGGGCACAGCCACAGAGACAGCAGCTCCACTGTTCTGGGACATTAAGTGGAATGTTTAAAGCCATCCTGCATCCAGCTTTTTTAAAAAACAATATTCCACCTCCTCTTTCCCTCTTTTCAAGTATCTCAAAAGACTTTCCAGTCTAGTTTCTGCATTAAGTTAAACTTTGTAAATCTAGTCTTTATATTAAAGTTGTCTCAAGGCCACAGCTCTTAGTCATGTAATCCAAATACTTGTTTTTCAGTACAAGAGGACAAATGTTATGAAAGTTTGAGGTGAATTTGTGCCAGCTGAAATGCTTCTTCATCTAGATATCTTTGGTAAAGATAACTTTCTTATGAAACAGTCATATCAAGAGATTTCCCACACTGTTCAAAACACTAAACAGATTTTTATCAGCACATCCATCTTCCTCTTTGGATTGAAAGGTTTGTTCATACAATGTTCGTGTTTTTAGCTCCGGATAGTTTGCAAGATCCTCTCTTATCATTTGACTGTGTTATACAGGACGACATTCTTGTAATGGAAAGTCATCACACATCTAACTAACAAAATGTATATGAACCCTTATTTCTTCACAGACTCATTTATCAACATAAAAGCTACAACTGACACAAATCTGATCCAGTTTAAAATACGAGTTAATCACATAAATGTATGTTTTATCAGCCTGTATTACACTAAATAAACCAAATTAAAAATAGGCTATTATATAAACCAAGTATCAAGTAGGGGATAGGAAGTCCCAAATAGCATATGGGCGAGTGGGGGGTTAAGGGATTCTGTCCTTTACAGCAAACTTACTTTACTTACTCACAGAAGTAACAGTAACCTGTAGTGTGCTTTACTATCATAATCAACAGCCATTTTGTAACTAATCATAACTGTTTTTAAGTGATGATTGTGGAAATGAAAATCATTGACAACGTTGAATTCTTTAATTTGACTGCTGGAGCCACACATGTTGTATTTTAACACATTCGGAACAGACTGCAGTTCATGATAGTTTGCAGTTTAGCAAAGTGTGATTTAATCCTCAGCATCAGCTGGTCTGACATTGACTAAAGCCTGTTCTACTTAAAATGTGGAAGATTCCTTGTTTTTGCTTTTGTCAAGATTTGTGTCAATGTTGAGAGTTACACTTCCCACAGACTGCAATCTTGAAAAAGATGTGTTCATTTGATGTGTGACAACACATGTTGTATGAAAAAGAAAAACTCCACACAGATTTTGTCTTGAGGAAATGCACTGGTGCACTGTTGTCATATAATGCAATGGTCCATCACGCTGCACAGCTGGGAAGAACTTAATAACCACTAACAAGATCTGGGTGCAGTACACTTTAAAGCGCCGCTGGAAATATTGCTCATTGACATTAATGGCAGCGACAGGCAGCTGTTTGAACTTTCTTAACTTAAACACAGAAATCATGTTTTTCAATTAATTGCACAACTTTGACATAAATGAGCGACCGCTACAAGTCAGTTGAGCTAACTAGCTGTACACTCTGCCTGGATGATAAAACAAGTGGAAATACTAACCAGAAAGTCTGAGTTAAAGAGAGGTTAAACACCAAGCAACTGCATGGCGATATACTGTATGTCTTTGTACTTTCTCGTGGAAGGGTTGTAGAAGTCTGGAAAGGTCATTGTTGCCCCGATGAGCTTCTCTTCCACGTTCACAGTAACTTTGTAAACAGCAGATCACCAATGCTACACAGTAAAAAGATTTTTCATCCTGTGGGTGATTTTGGTCTGAATGCCCACGAAGTCTTTCCAGATGAAGCAGCCGAGTTGCGGCAAAATTTGAGTCAGGTTCAACTGTTTTGCCAGATGACCCTGTGTATTTTTTTTGGAGCCCTCTACATAAGACCCCCCCCCGTGTTGATGGAGGGGCTCCCTTCAAATGAATGAAGGGACTGTGTTTTTTCACACAGGGTTAGAGTCAGTCTGCAAGAAGGAAATCAAAGCCAGTTTAGATGCTTGCTAGTGCCAGCTCAGCTACCCCTGTCAGTCATGTGACCCTTGTCTTGCACATCATAGGAATCCCTTGAGAGTCTCATAGGGATGCTGTTGTGCTGGCTTGTCTATTGCTTTTTAACAGGCAGCTGAAATGTGTGCTGTGTGCATTTACACTTGCATTATATACATACTTTTTCATATTTCTCATTTATTGGATGATATCCATTTATAGATCACATTTTAATACCAGGTTAAATTGGGGTCTGAATAGCTGGCACTGTAGGTGTTGAGCTCACTCACTCCATTCTTAGAAACACCTAATAAGTCACCTGTATGTGGAGGAGATTCCTGCCAGTGATCACACCTGAAGTTAATATGAGCAATTACTGTAGACTGAACTGAGGCCATCCCATGAATGTGAATGGGCTCCCTTTCTCCTGGCTTGCAGTCCCGCTCTGTTTTATGTTGATGAAAGATTATTCTTAAATACATTTCAAATACTTTACATTTTAAGTGCAGCTTTAATGTGAGCAGATAATGTGATAAATCAATGTCTCAAAACACAGATTTGCTGACAATTCAACCACTGTTTTATTCATGGAGACAAAATAGACTGCTTCCTCATTTTTGATTCTTTTATTTTATTTTTTATCTGGATAAAGAGAAAGTTTCAACAGGGAAACGGAAATGAATCAGACACCAACAACACAAAGCTGAACTTCCTGACTATCTGTGTGCACACATGACATCTTTTTTAAGAGAGCAGTTCACCAACTCTGCCCGTCCTCTGGTGCTTTTTATTCAGGTGTCTCTAGGACTTTGTTGTATGGTTTGCTAATATGAACTGTACTGCATCTGTATACGACCAGAAGTATATTAGCATACATTATTCTAATCAGATTAATTTTAAATGTATCTAGATTATTCTACACTGGTACTCTTCAGAGATCGATGAGGAAACAAATATTTTGATGATGTAACAAAATCTTGTCTACTGTATTGTTTCTAGTTTTCAAAGAACTACTGTAATACACACTGTGACAGTAACAATGCAGGCGATGTTAATTGTTGAACTAATGAACACATAGTAAATGTTTGAAGTATCAATAATATACTAAAATGTATCCAATGAAAAAAATGAATTTTTACTAATGTTACATGTTGATTTAACTGTATGAAAATTAACACATTAAAAATGTTTGTTAAAATCTATTTGCAATTATATGTCATGATCATATGGCTTTGCATTGAACATTCAAGCAGTTTGAAATGATGATTCTCAACATTTGTTTTTAACTCAATAAGTTTTTGGTTTAGCTAAGGAACTCAGAGAGGAAAACCTTACATTTGCATAACTGCAGTCTCCTGCGCCACTATAAGCAAACTAGCCCCTGTTTATTTTTTCTATGGGGAATTGTAGATGGTGCCGTATGATACATGTCAAAACACCCATGCTTTTTGTTTTTTATGTAAAATCCCACAGACTGGTGGCGTCTGGACTACAGACTACACATAGTCAGGACACACACCATCATTATTATCATTTGCATCCTGACTACTCTGCTTTTGCCATTTCAAACGTCTGTTTACTGCATTTGGTCTGTCCTATGTCACTCTGTGTGACATCTTGAAGCAGTCTAAATGAGGATGTGAGTCACACACCCCAAACAAACTTTAAATATTGCACACATTTTATTGGCAAATCAAAACGCTGATACGTGGACGTATCTTTATTGAATACATTCAATTACATGTAATTCATTTACAGATCCACCAGTTCACCCTGGAAGTAACTGCTAGAGTTATTTACATTTCAGAGTTTTAGCTTCTTGCATAAGTTCGCAGGAAGCAGTTCAGTCTCGTGTTAAATGGACAAACAGGCAGGTGCAGTGCTTGACCCCAAAATTAACCAAACATGTTTCAAATTCCTATACCTTCATTGACCCAGAGTAACTAATGCGGAAATGTCAGGACGTTATTTCAGCTTTAGTGCAAGATGATTGTGTGTCTAAAATATACTTTACTTCCATTATTTTCAAAACAGTCAACAGTTTTAGTGGCCAACTATTATTTCTTAAATGAGATGGACTTGGGGAGTGAAGATGGCGATTTACCTGCCACAACCACATTTTACCGGCAGTTGCCTGTTTTCTGGTAGACAAACTACAAGCATCCTGGAAAAAAATATGTATACATCAGTTTTATACTGTCTTTATCTCAAATGGAAGAAATAAGCCCCTGCCATCACCATCCAACCCAATCATTCAGACTTTTTTCTTATTGATAAATGTACATTGCAATTCTGAAAAAAGGTTGGGTTTTGAGCTGTATAAGCCTCTATCTCCTCTTACATTAGTCCTGAGCTTAAAAATGTTCTGTCTTCACCAAGATGTGTGGAAATGGGGCCTTTTGTCTGGGAAATTAGACTCAAACCTAAATTTAATAAATAACACTTATAAGCACTCATAGAATGACTAAATTATTAAATGATTAAAAAAACAAAAATCCAAACACCTTGACTACTGTCAGTAATTGTCTGTAGCTTCAGATGTGAGGTTTCTTGCACAGGACTAACTATTGGCAGATCAAGTTTTTTTGTTTAGACTCACAGGTCTGTCGTGACACTGATGTTAAAACTGTATTTTTAGACTTCCTGCTTTCTTACAGTGCAGACGCTTTGCTGCTTGCTCTTGCCTCTGCTTGCGTTCTTTTGCTGAAACTTTTTTTTTTCTTACTAGAAATTATGAGCAGCGGCTCTTTGATACTTTTAAATCACTGGGACTGTCATCTATTCAGATAAAGTAGGCTATTGCCATATTTTAAACACTTTTATGTTTTAAGTGCTACACGAGTGCGGCCTATCAATAGCACTAGCCAGTACTGCAGTGACTGGAGTTAAAGGTAATGCTAATTAGCAACAAGATGCCCCCCTTCTCCACGGACGACTTACACAAACTACAGAAAATTGCAGTGCTGGAAACCAAGATCCACAGGTTAGAAGTGAATGTGGAAGTGAATGGACTATGTGGGAATGACACCACTTTACCGTGGACCCAAAATGGTGGAGCATGTTAACACATGGCTAATTAGCATCAACAAGACTACCAAGAAGCAGGAGGCCTGTGTACTGGGTAAGAAATCTGAAAGTGGGAGTCCTCCCCGGAACGCTCTTGGTGCAAAGCCAAAGAGTACATAATTTCCTTGGGAAATAGGAGGACGAGTAACAGGCAGAACCCAGCGCCCTGAGATTTGTGATGCGACTGGCTGGCCTGCATTATCATCCAGGCAGAGCGCTTCTTCAACCCCTGTTCTTGGTAGGACACAGCCGTGGACAGCTGCGAAAGGGAGAGTTAGCAACAAACCTCCCCAACAACTGAGTGTGCAACAGCAGAACAGATTTTCACCACTATTGCAGAACCCTGGATCTCCGTCTGATGACCTGGATAACATCCCGTCCTCACACAGAAGGGTAAGGACTGAGAGTAAATCAGAAAGTAAAAGGCTGCAGGGAAAGCTAACGACTGGGCCTCAAACTCTGATTGTGGGTGACTCTGTTGTAAACGATGTAAGAAGCATGTGCAGTAAGAACACCAAAATACACAGAAGGATACGGTGTCTGACTTGGCAGAAAGAATCCTGCATATCGTGGCTGAACATCCTACTGTGAAAAACATCATACTGCACATCGGGGCCAATGATGTTGTGAAGCAACAGTCTGAAGTGTTGAAAGAGGACTTTAATAATCTGATAAACTCAGCTCTTTGAATGCTGAGGTGTTTATCAGTGGCCCTATACCGCCAATCCGAAGAGGAGCTGAGATATTCAGCAGACTGATGGCATTGAACATGTGGCTCTCAACGGCATGTACTGTCCATTCAGTGCATTTCATTGAAAACTTTTACTTTCTGTGGGACCGCAGACATCTTTTTAAGGCAGATGGACTTCACCTTAACAAGTCAGGAGTAAAATTTTTCAGCTCCAACCTGTTTTACTTTCTGCGTCACTCATCTGTTTCCTCTGCCAAGGACAAGAGGAATCAAAACAGGAAGAAGATGTGATAGGCAGGCTTTCGGCATAGTAAGGCCACGGTCGGTTGCAGCCTCTCAGTGAAGCTCCACCCCCTGTCTTCTCCAGAAGCAGGCACACACCTGTGCCTCTTTAAGAGTTAATTTATAGGGAACACTTGGGATCTCTCTGTAGGCATTGTGTTCCAGTGTGGCTAGAGAGCAAGTATGTCTTGTAGAAGTCATGTCAGTAATCACAGGCATTTTAATCCACCTGTTGTCAGAATAGCCTCTTGAACTAAAGTTCACAGCAGAGAAGGCATTGGTGGCCGATAACCCTGAGGTAAAAAGATGCTATCTAGAAGAGCTATACAAGTTTAGTAGTTTGTGTGCCTTTGATAACATGACTTACATTGGAGTGGGCCTAAACGTCCATCTGTAAATGAGGTGGCGTCAGAGCTGGGTTGACTATTTATTGCACTGAAATGCCGTCGGAAACGCAGGTGGTGGAAAACAAATCTCCAGGTTCATTTTGACATCTATAAAGAGAGACTTCGCATTTATAATTTAGAACTGAGAAATGCAAGGCGGTCCTTCTTCTCTGACATCACCAAAAACACTAATAATGCACATGCCCTGTTTGCTACTGTCGACAGGCTACCAACCCTCCTGTGTCTGTAGCCTCTGACCTTCTATCCACCAGGGCCTGCAATGAATTTGCCTCCTTCTCCACAGACAGAATTCAAACAATTAGACAAGCAATCAGTGCCTCCATGTCAGTAAGAGGATATGTCTTGTCCCTGTGTCCACTTAAAAACAATTCCTATAACATGAGGCAATATTATTCTATTAACCTTAAAAACCTGGAGGACATAATACAACATCTGAAATCCTCTTCATGTTACCTTGATATTCTGCCAACAAATGTTTCTAAATGCATTGCCTCAGATCTACTACAAATTATCAACATGTCTCTCCTCTCAGGTTTTTCCCCACAGGCCCTGAAAACTGCAGTCATTAAGCCACTCTTAAAAAAGAGCAATCTAGAAAGGTCACTAATGAGCAGTTATAGGCCCATATCTCCCATTTTTAAGTAAAATCATTGAAATGGCAGTTTTTCAACAGCTTGGTGCTTTCTTGGCACTAAATAACTATTTTGATGTCTTCCAGTCAGGTTTTCGACCACACCACAGCACTGACACGGCTCATGTTAAGGTCTTCAATGACATCCATTTAAACTGTGACAGTGGCAGAATTTCAGTCTTAGAATTATTGGATCTCAGTGTTGCATTCAACACGGTCGACCGCAACATATTACTAGACAGACTTGAAAACTGGGTTGGACTTTCTGGTACAGTACTAAACTGGTTTGAATCCTACTTAAAAGACAGGGACTACTTTGTGTCTATAGGTAATCACACATCTGAGCTGACAAATGACATGTGGAGTTCCCCAAGGCTCCATTCTGGGGCCTCTTTTGTTTAACATTTACATGCTTCCCTTGGGGCTCAGATTATGAAAAACAACAAAATGTTACCATAATTATGCTGATGACACACAGATTTACATAACGATATCCCCAGGGGACTATGACCCCATATAAGTGCTGAGTAACTTTATTGAGCAGGTCAACGATTGGATGTGCCAGAATTTTCTTCAATTGAACAAAGATAGAACTGAATTTATTGTGTTTGGAGCCAAGGAAGAATGACTGAAAGTCAGTACTCAGCTTGAATTGGTAAGGTTAAGGAACCACAAACCAAGCCAGAAATCTTGGTCTAGTCATGGACTCAGTCCTGAATTTGAGGAGCCACATTATTACAATTACAAAGTCAGTCTATTATCACCTGAAGAATATATCAAGGATTAAAGGACTGTCTTCACAGCAAGACCTGGAAAAATGTATCCATGCATTTATCTTCAGTTGACTCGACTACTGTAACGGTGTCCTTACAGGGCTCCCTAAAAATCCATCAGACAGCTGCAGCTGATTCAGAATGCTGCTGCTCGAGTCCTCAATAAGACCAAAAAAGTGGATCACATCACTCCAGTTCTGAGGTCTTTACATTGGCTTCCTGTATGTCAAAGAATTGATTTCAAAATCGTGCTGTTAGTTTATAAAGCACTAAATGGTCATCTGGAGAAGGTCTACTCTCCCCAGAATCAAAACTAAACATGGAGAAGCAGCGTTCAGTTATATATCTAGAAAAAACTCCCAGGACTTAAGACTTTTCTTTTTACCACTGCCTTTATTTAGATCAAATGTAAGACTGTGGATTAATGTCGTGCACTGCACTGTGACTTTTACTGTCCTGTTTTATCAAGTTTCTATTTCCTTTTTAACTTTTTAAACTACTTTTTAAATGTATTTTATCCTATTATTTTCTATTTCACCCTTATTAAAAAATTATATAAATTATATTTTATTGTTGTTTTTTTTTCAATTTCCCAATTTGTTGCTTTTATGTTTTATGTAAAGCACTTTAAATTGCCTTTTTGTTGAAATGTGCTATACAATTCAACCTGCCTTGCCTTGCCTTGTATTTTTGTTTTATTTTGGGCTACCTATAGCAGTAGGCGCCATAAAGATGCATCGCCTTGTTGGGGAATCCAAATGAGCGTACCCCTGCTTCAGGGATGCCTCCACAGCGCTCCCGAGGGCTTCTGATGGGAAACCGTACGCTGCCATCCTTCAGCCATCCGCCATCACACTGGTCATAGTTTTGGAAACGCCAGGCGGCATAGAGCTGGCCCACCAACGCCAACTCCGCTCCCTGATGTTTACATGCATGTCCTGCCTGCTCGAAAGAGAACGCCCCCGATATGTAGGAAACAGAGCCTGTGAGAAGAGGAAAGACTTATGGAAACACACAGTTCAAACCACACTAATTTTTTTTATTTATAATAAATTATTATTTAACTTATTTTGTTCAGAATGGAATAACTGACTGCAGTTGAAGTTTCCAGGGACAGAGACAACCAAGTACTTTCCCACTGATTAACTTCGCCATGTCTCACCAACAGATTTTATTGTCCTCTGTCAGCCTCCTATCAGTCCCACTCTCACACTGTGGCTATAAAAGGTCACCTTGTTGCAACACAGAGTTGACATTCACTATTACTACAGTGAAACACTACAAAATGTTTGTGAATCTGTCCTTTACATAACACAAAACAGTGCTGCTCCGTTGGCAATAACAAGAAAACCCACACAGTGTGATGACTTTCCTGGAATCTGGGTTTGTTTCTGGTCCAGAAATTATGAGCACTCCTTTTAGTCTGATGTGGGCTATGAAGATAAAACTGATTATGAAATTGATAAATAAACTAGCCCTGCAATGTCAGTGAAATAATTACAGCATATATTTTTAGAGATGAGATTCTTATAACTGAGAGTTTTAGTTTTTTCCACAAAAGGAGGACTTTCAAAAATCTAAGGAATGATCTAAACAAACTAAACTGTGTTGTGGAGAATAAATCAAGGCAGTTGACTTTTAACAAACTCAAAATCTTGTTTAAATTCTCACCTTGCTGCAGTGATGTGCAGGTGTACTCCAGGACCTGTGACATCACAGTTGTGTGTGGTACAACAGAGCACACTGCTGATCCACACCCTGCAGCCTGCTCTTAAATTACTTTTTAACATTTAAAGGATAAATCTACATTAGTCTAAATTTTTCCTGTCAACAAATCCCGTAAAAAGGCCAATACCAACAATGTTAAGGGCATCCTTACCCTGTATGTGGTTCTTGAGCCATCTTGGTTCCTACTAAAAACATTATAATGTTGAACTATTTTTAAACATTAAAGTTTAAAAAATAAAACTGCTGTAGGTCGTTTTTTTTTTTTTTTTACTTTGTCATTTCATTTGAAGGACTTTACCTAAAGCCACTTTTATGTTACATCTCAGCTAAGGAGAAAATTTGAAATAAATAAATAATATTTAGTTTTTATTTATTATATTTCCTTTATATCCTTTAAGGTCCAGAGCAAGTCTTGGACAAACTCAAAGTCCAATTTGCTTCCAGCTTCCACTCAGGGAACTAGACTAAGCATTGGTACAAGCATAGCCACTGAAAGCTTACCAGACGCCTGGGAAGTAAAGCAGAAAGCATCGAACCGATCGTGATTCTTATCTTTTGGTCCATAACTGCGAATTCCAGGGACCAGCTCTCCTCCACAGGCAGGTCGAGGATGAATAATGGGGTAATGAACGGTTCCATCATGGAGCCAGCCTGCATTACACCAGTCCAGACCCTCAGTCCATGCTACAGGAGGAGACATGCTGATTTAAAAGAGCTGGTATAGCTGCAGACAAATTAGACAAATTAACACTATGTGGTACCTATGTACAGCTGGGTCAGTGAGGCTAATGTGCCATCTTGCTCAGTACAAGCCTCCTTAGCCTCATGGAAAGTGAATCTGTAGCGGCCATTTTTACTCTGATATGGAAACACCACACCTACAAATAGAAACCATGTGTCAGTGTTTATGTTTTACACTTTACTGTACTGTATCCTATAAATCCTGTCTTTCATCAAAAATGTGATTCCCAAAAATAAAATAAATTAAAAAAGATAAAATCCATGTCCCCCTGTGGGTGTAAAAACATTTTTAATACGTTTTACTTTATTTATACCAGTAACAGTTCATTTTATGCTTCATTAGCTATGCACTAGTGATATGTACTCAAAAGTATCTTATTTTCAGACACCAGTAAGGAGCCATTCCTTCAGTTTAACATTTTGAACAGACACTCGGCTCCGTATTGCTTCAGTTACCTTCAATCCTCAAAGTAATGACAACACTCTCATCTTCGATGCCATTGACAAGCTCGCAGCGATACGTGCCGCCATCTTCCAGCTCAAGGCTGCTGAGCTGTAGCGATGCGTCCATGGTGTGAGCCTTCCGGAGAGAAGCCCGCTGTCCAAGATGGCCGTATGGCTTGAAAGCATGTGCATTTAAAATCATGATAATGTTCTCCGTCCCGACGTGTTCCGGCTCCAGCTTTGTCCATTTCACTTTGTAATGGCTAGGTTTGATTCTCAGGATACACGGCAAGGTGACGTTTTGTCCCCTTCTGCCAACAACCTCAGCGTACACAGGAGGCTCAAGGAGGTACTTTAGTTTCTTGGATTCTGTGGGTGAAACAGGAACAATAGTTATGTATTGTAACTCCAGATTCTATGAGTATAGGTGCAGTCCTCTAAGGCTATCGCTATTGGGTTTACCCCTACGTGCACATGCGCGGCACTGAGAACAGCTTGTCTACGCCCACCCACAGCGTGGGTTGCGGCTATGTCTGCATCTTCTATATAAACAATGATGAGACCTAGCCATCGACTCCCACTTTTCTTCAGCACTGAGCTGTCTAAAGAACAAAGAAGATTCTGAAGTGACAATGTCTTCTAGCAAGCTGATCGAATCAGGGCGACACACCACTTTGTCCATATGGGTTAGCGGTGTCTGCCATGCAGGCTACATCATGGATTTCTATCCCGCTATCGGCCTCCACCTCCCTGCCATCCATCAGCGGCCTCGTCAGAGAGCTCCCTTCCGTCATCCAGAGAGCTGCTGAATCAAAATTAAAGGAAATAGCCTATGTTCAAGGATGAATTCACCCAAATAACACAAAGCGGAAACTGCTGCTAGAGTGTCCACACCTCAATCAGTAGGTAAATTACCTAATGTAGCTCAAATTTATACTAATGTTACGTGATTAATTGGAGTTGGTTCATCAAGATAAACAGTAGGTGGCCGTAACTTTCCAGTTACAACAAGATCACAGTCAAACCACAAATGGTGAAAAATAAAGTAGAAAAAAACACAATAGAAAATGGCATTTATATTTGTTTCATATTAATTTGAGGAAAGTTACAGTCTCTTCATCACTCCACACAGATCTGATGTTTTCCTCTGTTATCTGTCTTTTCAATGGAGCAGAAGCTTCAGAGGATGTTTAAGTCATTGGTAAGTATTGTTTCTAGTGCACTTTGTTGCATTTTGGTTGTATCGATTAACCATATTTTCAACCTCAGCCAAGAGGAAAAAAATGCGATTTTTTGAGTTTTATTTAAAATATTTGGTGTTTCCACATAAAAACAGAAGGTCTCCATCTGACCATGCCACTGTACCACTGGTGAGGAAATCCAATAAAATGGAGTGCTGGTCCGACATTGAATTTTTATCAACTGATAACCCAATCGCAGAAGGAAGTGGAGATGCTGTGGTAGACTTACAGCTCACAGCTTCTGACAGTCGTACAGGACCATTTTCTTTTTGGATTTAGCAGCAAAAAGCCATATACGTGTTTCAAAGTTTATTCTTCACAATGACGTTGGTACACGTTGAATCATGAGGGCTTGATATGAAATGTGAAATGGAGTGTAAACCACTCTCACCCTGATCATACCAGCACCGTTTTGGAGCGTAGCCTTCCAAAATAGTTGTTGGTGTCAAAGCATATAGAGCTGTGTAGCAACATTTTGCTGCCTTGTCTTTTAAGTAATTTATTATCTCTATTAGCCATCAGATGGAGCATCAGTAGAAGAAACTTTTAAGCATGTCGACATTTGAACGTTGCCCAATGCCGCTCTGATCTTTCTCCAAGTTTCTGTGCCTTTTGCATGTCTTTATACACTGAAGACCTTCATTGTGTTGCCCTCACGAAAGTGTCATACAAAAAAATGAAAGAAAATGTTGTGTGAAAAAAGTTCAAATCCCACCTCTACACATCTACACACCTGGCCAATCACTGTGTAACACTCAGATCGTCAAAAATTGTTGGACACAACTCTGTTGTTGGAAAGATGTTTTCACGGGCAGTTAGATTATCAAGCACCCCCTTAGCTATCATTAGCTGTAGACAAGAAGGATTACCAAAACGTCAATCACCACATTCACTTTCATTACTGTACCTGCTCTGTTGGGGGTATGTATCACTGAAGACCAGGCGAAGCAGCTTGATGTTAATAGAAGAATCACTGCACAGTTCATTCTGAAGGGAGTCACTCTTCCTGCTCCTACAGTTCATATTAAAAAAAGAGTAGAGTTTTTACAAAGAATAACTCTTTTATGCATAAACAAATCTCACTTTGTCTTTGTTCTCAAAGACCTGACAAGTTTCCATCAATAAGAAGAAATTGTAGTAATCAAATAATCCAGGGTTTTATGCATTTGTTATATTGAATGGCGTGGCAAATTCCAGGTCCAGCATGTTATTTACAAACTGTGTTTTACCGTTAGTCTGACCTTAGCAATGGTAAAGTAGAAAAAACACAACAGTACAAACCTGTAAAGTTGAGATGCTGCAGATGTCCAGTCATCCTCCTGGTTTGTCCCACATGACGACGATGCTTTCAAAGTGTCCGAGTTCCTGGATAACTCATAACTTCTGAAAGTAGAAGCTACTGTTTATCCCTGCTGGCTCTTTGTCCAAGTGTTCAGCTTTCATACCCAGTTCATCTCTCCCTCACTCTCACCTCCCCTCTGTCCTCACTGACACTCTTTCCTCACTGTTGTCAACAGTGTGTAAACAGGATTGTTGTCCTCTCTGCTCCAGATGTTGATGACCATATGAAGGTCTGACATGCTGTCTTTGTTTCTATTTTCCTTAGATTTCTTCTTCGTTTTGCTCATTCAAAGTCAGACAAAATGAATAGAGAACGGAAATAATTGATTGTAGTTTGAGTAGTTTTCAGTTTACACAACTAATATCGAAATGTGACATGGGAAGATGTGCTGTCTAGTAATACTTCCTGTGACTAATTATTTAATTGTAAAATCAGTGCTGTAGAAAACAGCAACTGCACTGCTTCCAAATGCTTAAATGTTTTAAGCTTTTTTAAAGACCCAAATTCGTCCCGTGCCTGCATCTTTAAGACCTGACCTGATCAAATCCAAGTGATCCCCAGACCCAAACACAACCTCAGACATGACGCTTTATTTTTTTGCTTTATTTAATTTATTACTGACCATTAGCTAGCTAGTCAATTGGTTATACACAACTGTTTATTTTCTATTTGCAAAATGTGCAGATGGCACAGTCACAGAAAGAGTGAGCAAGCGTATTACCTACTGAGCAAGCAAGCTAAGTCAACTTGTTTGCTTTCATTCTCCAACAAAACAGATTTCCTGAAACATCCTTAAGATATGCTTGTGAAATGTGACTTGTTGTCTTTCAATAAAGGTGTGATTCAGGCTAGCTGGACACAGTTTAGAAGAGAATAGAATATACTTGAATGTCTCTGTGGGGATGGATGTCATGACTTACTCATACGCAGTGAATAGAGTCTTGTACTGAGCGGCTACAAAAATTGTTATCTTCAATGTTAGTTACTGGGCTTGCTCACTAGCAGGTTGCCCTGCATGCTCATTTGCTAATTAGTTTTCTCTTTAACACTTTAGGTGCCGACATTCCTTTTGATTTGACAAGATTGGACAATGACCTGTACGTGCATTGCAAGTGGGAGCAGGATTCTGAGTAAATCACACAGTCTAAATGAATCTCAGCCACTGGCAAAAGCCAAACATTGTATGTGATATCATGAACTAGTGGGCGATAAAAAGTGTTTTGTCAATGTAAGGTTTAAGGACTATTCTAGTCCTTAAACCTTACAGTATTTTGCACCAGTTTAAAAAGAGTTGGCTTGTTTTCCAGAGTCAATCAAGGGTCATTAATTTCACACTGTTTCAGCTATCTGCAATCTCATTTTAAAATTCCTGAAACAAGAGAAACTATTCAGTAAAATTGTGCTCGAGGGCTAACGTGTGTGTTTTTTTAACCAAGTTCACATAATAGCTACTATATTGGCTTGTGCTGCCAAACAGCATAGTGTAGCTTACAGTGCACATGGTAATGAGCCTTCACTGAACCCTGCGGCCAACAAGCCTTCCTGCATATTCTAACCTTTTCCAGAGGGCTGCTGCCAAAGAGGACTATAGTGTGCATTCACCCATCTTTGTTATTGCCCACACAGCTTTGGGGACAGTGGGAGAGGAAGCTGTGTTCTGTGGGCTCTAATTTTGCGGACCCCGGGCACAAGGGCCGCATTGTGACAGTCACGGTCTCCATGCAGTGCCAGCAGGCGGCGGTCACGCAGACACCATCCAATGTGGAAAGAAGATGAAATAATGGGATTCTTCTGTTTTTTGCTTGTGTTGCTTCTCCATTGTGCTCCGTCATCAATGGGACTCTTTCTTGTCCTCCAATTAGTATTCACCCAAACACCTCTAGGTGAAAAGGGCCAACTGTCTCTGCAGCATTCTATCTATCTAAATAAATTAAAACATAAATTAATACATTTTGTTTCAAATAGAGAAACACTAGCAAATAAAAGCAATTCAATCAGAAGAAACAGGCAAATGAAGAAACAATAATGTATAAGTCTTTGGTGCTGAGACTCCACAGGGAAGTTGTTTGTAATCAAGGGGCATCTGCCCTGAGCAGCAGCAAGATAAATTCCCATATGGAGTCCAGACACTTGGCTGATGACTCTGCTGAGGTTGATAGGCTGATGAGGATGATGAAATGACAGAGCTGATGAAACTGCAAAGACTGGAAGTGACCAGCTAATGGAATAGCTGATATCACAACCAACAGTCCCAGATAATGAGGAAAGTGAGCGTGCGTGAGAGGGCATGGCAGGATGGTATAAGAAATAATCTACAGGCCTAAATATGCATAAGATTAAATCCCCACCCAAAATAAGGGGAGCTCTCAAAAAGCACAGACCAGGAAGCATTGTCACAGGCCATGATTAATCAAACAAAGATGGCATAAAATGCTGAGATGAAGCACAATAGTGAGCATAACACAGAAAATTAGATGACCCCTAACTGAAACTCTTAGGAAAGACCAGTGAGCAAATGATCAACAAACAGAATCAGAATCAGGATGAGAAGACAGTTCAGATGTTAAAGCTGGAAAATCTATTAGAGTGGAAGAAGTCTTTGCATTATTATGTTTCTGCTGAGGACGAAACCTGGGTGGGCACACTGATTTCACGCGAGGGTTTGTGCACTTGCTGCAGATGTCAAGGAAAACACAAGTCGGGTAATAGTCGGGTAACACTTTTGTTGAAATTATTACATAGGAATATTTTACGTGGTTGTCCATTACTCTTTTCATACCAAACTTTGTGTGTATATGCAGGATTTTTTAATGCAGTTTAACTTGCTAAAAATAGATGAAACAATTCTTTCACGTCACGACCACACTAGAAAACAGGGTTAGTAAACAGTATAGAGAGAAACTTTGAGGCCAGTGACAATATTACTGTGGTTGCTGTGTGTAGCCCATAAAAATAAAGTGTAGCTGCAATGTTTCCGGTTAATAGCTCTGTGCTGGGCCGGTGACAGGTGTGTTTGCAGTCTTTGTGTGCTCTGAAAGACGTCATGGCAAGTCAGCTGATTGACTGTTAGCTTATCATGCTCATACTACATAAACATATGCATCAGATGTTTTTAGACGTCTGCTGATAGAAACAGATGAATGACTTGTGTCAAAAAAAAAGGGCGGAAATTAGCATGTCCACCCGGGTGTCATGTTTACATTGCTGCAATGTGTTGGCTGGAACCGATAAATACCCGTGACTACTGCAGAGTCATTTGACCTGAGATTGAATGCCAATGCCACATGTAATGCATGACTTAGCTTGCCCACTAGCATGAGCAACAGTTCAGTATCCAGAACAGTTCATGCAGATATTTGATTGAGAGCTACAGAGCGCTGCTTCGCTGGAGAAACCTTTGTTTAGGTACAATTTTCTTATCATGCCATCATGTGGTAGCTTTAACACAAATTATATAATGCTAAATTTTATTTTTTCTATTTTATGTTAGAATGAATTCTAACTTGAAAGGTAAGAAACATTTGAAAGCCTTGAAATATTGTTTGGCTTTAAAGAAATGAGGATCAGTCATTACTTGGTTCTCAGTAACTTAGCAACTTATTCCAGTCTACAGGTGAACTCTCTTGGCCCTGCAGTACTACTTCTCACACTTAATTTCCATTTGAGTGATGGATTTGTTCTTGCAGCCCTTATTTTTTAGGTATCTTCCCAAAGTAGAGAATGGGAAGTGGGAATCACTTAGACTTCGTTGTTTCTAAATGTTTATCCTATTTAGGATCTTGTCACATTATTTCAGTAGGAACATAATCAAAAAATCTGTTGTAAGCACAAACCGCCCTCATGTACAATCGATGAACAGCGCTGATATGAGCACGTCGGGCCTGCCTGCTGCCCTGACACCGTATCAGTTTGCAAGGTGAACTAGTGCGTGACTATTTTGATGAAAGGTGTGACAAGCTGCGGGGTCATGAAGGCAGTCCCATTGGTAAAACTATGTACTTTCTGGGAACATTTCTACCAGGTTCCCCCTTTCCCATGTAAAGACATGTTATCCCCTGAAACATTTTTTTACAGGGATGTGCACGGACCTTTTTAGGGACTGTTACTCTAACCTGAAAAAGGGCAACCCCCACCTGATTTAAGGTGTCACCCATCAGCATGTCCCTGGAGGGTGTAAAATATGGTCATTTAACTAACCATAAATCAATTTAAAGAATTAAGATTAATGTAAATGACAAAAACACATTATTGCATGTTTAGGGCTCTATTACATAGCCCGGGTGCATTTGTATGGCTTGCCGTACATTTAGGGCATGTACGAATCCTCATTTGCTAGTTCAGGGTGGAAAAATGGTCATTGCAGTGGTTGAAAAAGGTCGTGCTCAGTCTGTGAATTAGTCATGGGTGTGTTTTGGGGCGTAACATGCAATAAACCAATGAGAGTCATCTCCCATTCCCTTTAAAAGCCAGGGGCGAGTTCAGCGCCGACAAAACGTAGCAAAACTCTTTTTTCAATGGAAACGGTGGTGCCTCAAACTGTTTTCCTGCCTTCTGAACACCGTTGTGTTTACAAACTTAACGCAGCTGATTGGGTAACACCTGTGGCACGCCCACCAAACAGAAGAAAACATACCTCAAAGCCCGTTGCATAACGTTGCATAATGTTGCAAGGAAACATGTCGTTCAATCCGAAAACATTTTGCGATTGAACTCGCCCCTGGTGCGCTTGTACCTCGTTAAATACCGCATGAATGGCACATTATAAAAACCATAATAAAACACATAGAAATAAAAAAGTGTGATGCAGACTCGCAGCATGGACTTAAGTGTCGATATGATATAAAACCTTTTTTTGAAGCTGAAGCCTTGTTACTCTACAGTTCTGTGCGACAGATCCATGTTATATATGCTCCTCCTCTATGAAACATGATGTTAAAGATGAAACTCATACACTATATATGTACACACTCATACTATGCACTGATATAATATGCTGTGTATTTATCATTAATTGAAACATTTGCTTTTAGTTAGTTATTACTCCCCACTTTAAAAAAATGCTTCTGAGAAAAAAGGACTGTAATTTTGCAATTATGGGCTACTTGTATTTATGCAGTATACAAGCATAAACCAAATGGACTGTTGTTTTAGCCTGCCCTTGTTCACATGCTTGATT